AATTTTTAGAAGGGTTTTTTATTGTGGTATACATTAGATTGTATTAAGCAGTGTACAATATCTAATCATTTATTTATTCACTGCTGAAATGACAGAGTAGCAGTCCAAACTATTTATGTATGGGTATCATTATTAGACAGAGAGTGTCGTAGTTATGTTACCCAGGGCACGGGTAATACTAAAACTGGCAGTGAATGCAACAATCAACTTACCAACCAACACACCAACCAACCCATCAACCAACATATTGAAGCTTCAATTACCCACTATTTTTTTGAAGATTTAATGCTATATCTTAAAGGTGCTCTACTTGATGATTGCTTCTAAAGCTAGAGTCGGTGTTCACTTGTTCGCATAGATCTTTTTTCTGTACTTTAAATACTTTCTCAAATAATTTTCTATAGGCGGTAAATCACATTGTCCACAGCTTCTATTAAATTTTTGCCAAAACTGATTTTCTTTCAGATACCATCCAAGCATTTTAACTGCAATATGTCAATTTTTATGATAAAGTGATTTTAAGCTATGTTGACTGAATTATTAGCTTTGAAAAAATAAAAAAGAAAAAAACCAAAAACGCAACTTGGCTTTAAACTACTAATATTAACAATTATTAGAGCTGACCTTCAAACTGAAATTAATAGCGAAGTGCTAAATGGGCTAATAGGTATGGAAAATATTGGTTAAAGGGGTTTTTGTTATTAATTCGACTGCACCGATTTTTTGTTGTTGGAGTTTCTTATACATGTTGTGTCTTATATCTTTTTTGCTATGACAAACGCATAAAACCGATATAGCGGAACCGCTTCAATTATATGTCTTCAAGTATCTCATAAATTTTTATTAACACATTTTGATCTTCTACTAGGGTCACTGCGAAGGGCAGTCATTGATTTCCTGCCCAAGTTAATCATGATCATAAGATTGGGTACCAATGCATGTTGTGTACTGAGCAAAAAGTTTATATTTACAATATTACTTTTGAATTACTTTTTTATGTGAAATTTAAGACCAAAAAGTCGTCATAGTATCAGATGAGTACATAAAATAGTACATAAAATAAATTAAGAGTGGCCTTAAGATGTTCAAGCTTAGTTTGTACTTATGTTAGTTGAAGTTAAATTATTGGTGACCTTTTTGTACAAATAATTTTTAATTTTTATTTATGAATTGAATTTTAATAACTTATTTTTCACTATATTTTTAATATTAAATCTATATAGTGTATAGTGTATTTTACTAAATAAAATACCATAATAATATTAAAAAAACAGTGTTGATAAAAGGAAATAGGAGTTAGTAAGACATATAGTAAGACCTCATATTATATTGGGGCAAAACGATTCTGCGGTCCTTCAAGAAGCTTTTTTAAACTTAAAATTAAAGTGGCTAGAAAAAGTAGCTCAGACTGGATAATATATTTGCAGACAAGCTAAAGAATTTATGCTAAACCGATAAAAAGCCAGAACTAGACAGCTACTAATGCTGAATAGAAAAGGCATTGGAATTGTTATAGGGTTTCGCACTAGACATTGTGGAGTCAAAAAACATCTGTCGAATCTAGGTATTACAATGTACCGTAACTGCAGACTTTGTCATGAAGAAGAGGAAACAGTAGAACACATTCTGTGTTACTGCGATAGTCTTGCCAGACTCAGACTTCGGTAGATATCTCTCCAAGGGACATAGTAGAATTTTTAACTGCTACGCATCTATGATACTAAAGTGGGTTTGTCATAATATTGTCAAAGAATGCAGTGACGTGGTGACATAGTTCTACGCCCTTTCAAAATCTATCTATTTATCTATCCATCTATCTATTTAGTAAGGCATTATAGAATTTTTAATTCCTACCTCACTGGGATTTCTACCGGCAATATCTTTTTTCTGGATAGTGTACAAAATTTTTTACAAAGATAATATTGCAGAAGTCGTTGAAATCTTTGTATAATTGAAAAAATTGGGTGTAAAGACTTATGTGGAACATAAATCAACGGCTAGTTAGTGCTCTTCAAAGTAACTATAATGTGGGAGCGTACTACTTGTACTACTAACTTTGATGTAGTAGTAATCAGATGCAGATATCCGTGTGGGTTGACCGTCCATAACGAAGATAAAGTTAAGTCAGTAACTAAGATAACTAAAGTTTGTTCTCGCGTTTTTTGTAGCAAACGACAAAGCATCTGTAGGCTGCACAATAGAAAGCAGACTGCACATAGGTGTTCGCAATCCCAACATTCAGTTCCTTGCTGGCGCAAGGCCATCCTTATCAATATTTCCTGTAGAAGCCATGCAAAACAAAAAAATGGTTTCTAATAAAATTTAATTGTATGCGACAAGGCATAACGATTAATACCTACCATACATGATTTAACATGTGGTTAACTCCTGATTTGGATCTACGACGCAAATCAACCTGGAACTTTATAGTAGTCAGTGTTAAAACGGCAACACTTGGGATATATTTTTTAACATATCTCGGCTTGCTTCTGCACTTAAAGTAAAGAAGCTGGTTGACCCATGTGTAAGATCGGAAGTCACATTGGAGTAAAAACGTCGAATTATTCACAAAGTAAGAGAAAAAAAAATTATTTTATTCAGCTATTTTCGATATTGTTTTCTATAAGCACCGATATGGTGTTTAGATATGATGTTTGTTGTGTTATAAACCGGTGGACCGAAGAGAATGGTTTTAGGGAATAATGTAGAAGAAGATTAATTAAGTCTGTTGTATATGACTTGAGAACAAAGAGAGTACTAAACCAAAAACTAGAATATATTGGAGGAAGCTTTGGCTTATACATATATAATATCAATAATAATCTTAACTCAAAAGTTTTAGTTATTTATTGGGGGGATTAATATCTTCTTGGTTTATCAACTCATCCTATAAACACATTTTTTAGTTGAGATTTTCGATTTATGATTGTCTAAAATTTTAGAGTTGTTTTGTAATAAACAATATTACAAAATATATTTTGAACGTAATTAATTGATTTATAAATATAATTTAATTGAATTCAGTGAAATGTCTTCTTTATCTCATAAATATTTTCATTACTTTAAGTGTCATTAATTCATCTCATCGCAGTACTCACTCTTCATAAAATTACGTAGAAAATATTAGCAAGCTGACAAGATATTTTTATGTTTATGAATTTATGAATAAAATTTTTTTAGATTTCTTTATTTCTTATTTTTTTCATTTTTTTTTTATCTGGAATAAGTGAAAACTATCTGAGCGTAGTAAAAAAAAAAAGCTGAAGAACTCAAAAGTCTCTTGAAATACTTATGTGCGGGCTTGTTGTAATTTATATCGCAGAGTACAAATCTACTTCAGAGTAATTAAATTGGTTTAATTTTTATAAAACTATAATTTTTTTATAATTTTTTTTAAAGTTATTTATGTCGTCAGTGCGTTGTTGAGTTGCTCAAGATAAAGTTAAGAACTCCAAAAAAAAAAGAGTTTAACTAAAATTTATTCGTTTATTGGGCGAAGTCATTCACGCTTACTAGCAAAATCAAATAGTTGCTTGCGTGCCGATGAACAATCAAGTTTTAGTGGAAATTAAAATCAAATTTAAATGATGTAAACTCCTCGGATACACAGAGTGAGCATATGTAGTCTTAACACAATGTATTCACGATTTTATTTACAACCAAATACGATAATGAACTTACTGTAATACTTACATAAAAATATTGGGTCAAGCTGTAGTGTAGGTTAATGTTAAGCACATTTAACTTTACAGTTAACAAAAAATTTCACTCAATGGAAGACAAAGCAGAGTTTAAAACTTCAAAATTATTGTTTCTTTAAATGGATTTAAAGAAAATTACTTTTTTGTTTTATTGCACTTTACTTTAATATCGTTAATTTATCATTTAATTTACTTTTTACGCAAACCATTTTTAGAATTAGAAGATAACAGGATTCTCAGAGTAGAGCAACGCACTGCGACCGTTTTAGATTCTTTTTTAATTAACAACTAATTCTAGATAAACTATAGGTAGATATATAGATAAATAAGACATTTTTCTATGTAGATTAAATTCTTTTTGTTTATATATATGAATTTGTCTATTTGTGCGTTCAAACCTCTAATTATCTGTTAACTGGAGCTATGTCACTGTTATGTTTTCATAACCATATACATGGTTACTGACACCTGGCCACGGTGTATTGCCTAAAGACAATACCTGGACACGGTGACAGCTATATTATCCATAAGATATGTATAATCGTAATCTCGATGATGAAATTCAATAGATATAATTAATAAGAGTGGCTTAATGTAAATTTAAATGCTTTGAAAAATGGAAATAATATATTTGATTAAATTTTTGAGTTTTAATCTCATTTTTGCGATGTAGTATTCAACAGGACTCTGAACTGGTTTTAAACCAGGGTCGTAATTACTTTATTAAGTTTATATAAACTTTAAATAATAAATCGGAATCAGAATTTACTTTAAAAACTAAGTCCATTAAGCTATCAATAATGTAAATTTCGACTTACATTGTTTATATTTAAAGCACCCATTTAAAGAATGGGTTCACAGAATGGATTTGCTATAAAAACTAAGCCAAATCTAATAATCTAATCTATAATCTAATTAAGGAATCACTGTTTTAGGTCTCGTTTTTTACTGATTATAATTTAATCATTAATAGACTGAATAGTATATTATATACATTTAAAAACTTCTAAGCAATTTTATTATTTACTTAAATGTTTGTTTGGATAATTGCAGAGCTTAGGGATTATGCTACAACTTCGTAAATAATTTATGTTTATTTCTGAGTATGTTTTTAAGTTCTGATGCAGTCTTTCGAGTGAATACTGAACATAAAAAAGTTCGGGTCCTATAAAAAGAGTTGAATCTTTTTCCTTTACAAATTTAACAGTTGTTTCGTTATAGTCGAATTTCTAGTGATCAGACCTATATTTTCTATATTGAAATTTTCTGTATTTTTAGAAAATCATAATCAAGAAAAATAATTTTTTTTTATTTTGACCGTTATCTTAATTTTTTATCGTAACGCCACTCTGTATATGCCCCCAAAACTTATACTATATGTGTTATTTTGTACGTACTAGTCAGATCCAAAAGAGTTTTCCAGTTTTTGACCAAGTTGGATCTGATAGTGGAAAACTGTCAGATTATTCAAATATATAATAATATTGTTATTTTTATACCGCTTAAGTAGATCAAACGTACTTTGAATATCAAAAAACTATTGTTGGAAGATTTTTTTTGTAAAAGAAAAATATATAAACTTCTCTATAGAAATTAATAAATTAAAAATTAGTGAAAATTAAATTAAAAAATTAAATGATAACAATAACAATAATATTTCACTTATATAGGTTAGGTTAGGTAATACCCGCGATCCCTAGTGGATCCACTTAAGCTTATTGGCCCATTTTGTTACCGTATATGTAGGATTTAAAACCACCTCGAACCCTGAAACTCAACAGCCTAAAATGCTATTGAGTTTCAGGTCTTGTAATTGATCAATATTCTTAAGAAAGAAAGCACCTAATTTACTCCTATATAAACTATATCAAAATTTTGTTAAATAAATTGCCACTGATAAATATCAGTGGCAGGTGGTCTTGCAAAAAGCGTGACGTACTTAGATTCTAAGCAGTAAGTTCTGTGATAAATTAAGCTACTATCGTGGATCTAAAACTTTACTAAATCATTACATATACACTGATTATATATAACAGTGTGGTAATTCATCAAATATCAATGATTTAAATAAAATTCATCATGTCACCAAAGTACAAATAAAATGATATCAAAAATCTTGAGTAAATACAAAGTGTGTAGTGAAAGCAAGTTCGTCGCTTAAGTCTTTTGATAAACATTATTAATTTACATTTCGTATTTGGCTCACGAATAAAGATCCTCAATTCGTACGCATTTACATAAATTTACATAAAATATTTTATTGAAACACAAAAAATTTTGTAATAAAAATGTAAAATTCGTACACACCTCCATGTATTGCCAAGTATTGGTATAGGCTTTGGTCCAGGTATTTCATCGTATGGTAAAGCATTTTGCCACTCTGCTGTAGCGTGTATGGAAGATGTTGTTGCATCTGTGCTGGCTGCTAAATGTGGGCAACTTTCGACTGCGGTTGCAGTAGAATTGTTGCGAGATATGTGAAAACTTGTTGCAACTGCATTTGCTGCTGGTTTCGACGACCTGGCAACACGCATCAAGTGATATTTTAGGGAAATCATATTATTTTATAATTCTATTATATTCTTTATAAATTGAAATTAAATTTGGCTCAAATACTTTTTTGTTTCGATAAAAATTCTTCTCAAATGGCGATAATGTATTTTTTTAATTATAATTTCAAGCACATATCAGTGATACGAACGCAAACACACAAACACCCAGTATTTTTATTTTTTTCTTCTTACTTTCGAAAATCGTAACTTTTGCTTTCAACCGCTTTTCTCTTTTTGGCCACCGTCCAGGCCTAATGTTCACTGAGTACTGCGCTTATAAGCATAAAATATCTTTTTTAGTTTTTGTACTCATGTTTATTGTAGATTTCATATGGCTTTCGGAACCTTGGCAACTGTCAACAACATGTCTGGAAACAATCAACAATGTTTAGATACATAAGCACTGAATTAGCACTATGTTGCATTAGTACAGACATGGCGAAAAATATTTTATGTTGTAAACATCAAAAGTTATTTATAAACTCATTTCAATAAAACACTGTATACATATTATATATTTATAGAAATATACACATCTATATAAGCACTTAAAATCAATTAAGGCAATATTGGATTGGAATTCATAATAAAGTCTGCTTTCTAATAAAATGATATGTAGTCGGAAAGTGAACTCTTATTTACTTTTAGTTAATCAAACTTTTTTTTATATATTTGATTAAAATCGATAGTTTTGTCTATGTAACACTAAATATATTATTCGTTAAAAAATTTTTAGGTTTGGTTGTAGATAGAACGTGTCCAAATTATTCCAGTTTTCCACTTCACGATTACCTCTTGATTACCTTTTAATCTAGCATGATTTACTTCTTTATAGGGCTTTCGTAACATGCCATGTATTTTTCCGTGTTTTAAAGTGACGGCTGATATTTTATTATACTGTTTCCACTGCAGTTAAAACTGCTTATGTTAATGGAATCAAGATGCATATAAAATAGCTTGTTTCTTTACATTTAAAATATAAAACATTTTATATTATAAATATTTTAAATTTTGATTCCTTGTGGGAAATTTATTTTTAAGGGTTGCATTCAACATTTTTCCCCTTAAATCAGTTGATTTATTTATAATAAGCTCATTTAACTGAAAGTAAATTGTATTAATCTTACTACCGGCCTTAATAAACCAAGTGGAAACATGGTATTAATTCTAGAACATATTCATTGGCAAAAGTTTTTACTTTTTATACCTTTATATACGTAGTATATTTTGTAGACAACTGTTTGTGAACCTTTATGATTAATGATTATAAATGATTTCAAAATTAATCAGCAAGTCAGATTTTACATCCATCAAATAGAAATTAACAGGATATTGTCTCTTAACGGAACGGAGCATTACAATCATGGTAGTTTTTTTATGCTAACAACCGAACTTAACCGAATAGAAAACAGTCAGCAATTCCAATCAAAGCAAAAATGTCTCCTATTCAGAATTTTCTTGTATAAGATGGGGATAGAAGCTTTTAGCGTAGTTTTCATCTCGCAGATCAAAGCTGGCTAAACGCAGAGAATATGACTAGAAGTCCCATTTAATCCCAAAACAGAGCTGACATTTAGTTTCCTTACATAGACCCACCTTGTTGATATGGTAACGCAGGCCTTGCTGACCTATCAAATAACTTACCTTAGTTTGGTTCTGCTGTGAAGGGACGTCTTGGTATATTTGTAAGGATGAACTAACTCTTTCTACTGATGGTTATTCAGATTATTGCGCCAATAGCGATTTCTTTCGATTGCAATTTAATTTTTTATTAGCAACGTAGTTATAAGATAACATATTTCCCAATACGGCTTTGGTACACAGTATATAACTGTCATTAATACCAATGTAAGCACTCATTCAGAAAATTATTACCAATAAAGGTTCAAATTTTACATAATCTTTATATATTTGAATTTTTTGTGAGAAGAGTTTGTGACATTTAAATGCAGCAAAGACTATTGTAAACAAATCTCACTTTAGTATTCTGGACAATACATATATTGCTCCGATAATTACGCATTAATTCAGGTAGCCCTTTGTTTCCAAGCCCTACCAATGACGCGGTATATTAAGATGATTCCTCTATTTAAAATCTATAAAAATTTTAAATAGTGGGGTTGTGGCGTAAATAGTGGCTTATATTGATCTACTGCAAGCTATTTATATGATATTCAGTATCTATTTAGGAAGAAGCATGATTATTTTTTGGTAATTGATTATCTTATAGTGTCCGGTTGCGTTTTTAGTGTAGATGGTAGTGTAGTGTAGATTTTGAGGACTGGGTGATTGTAATGCTATGCTAGTTGTTACAGTTTATATTAAAGCTATTTATCGTAATCAATTGTTAGGAAATAATTTGCTCTCTCTCTTTGTTTTTGGTATTTTTTTTTGTCGTAAGACCCTGTAAGTTTTGTGGACTTAGTAATTCGAAAACTCACTCCAAATAACACAATGAAGATAGAGTTGTTTAGGTAATTGATTCTGTTACGCCTCAGTTATAGGGATGCGGAGTTACAAAGCAGGAAATAATTCGCTCTCTCTCTTTGTCTTTGGTATTTTTTTTCGTCGTAAGACCCTGTAAGTTCTGTGGATTTAGTAATTCGAAAACTCACTCGAAATAACACAATGAAGATAGAGTTGTTTAGGTAATTAATTCTGTTACGACTCAGTTATAGGGAGTTACAAAGCAGTATGACCTATGAGAAAAATGAACTGAACTGAACGTTACGCATATAGAACTACACATTAGATATAGATGAGTCTTATCATGCGTGATAAGAAACTATTTGGCATATGGCCATATCATACCCCAAGACAGGTCAAAAGTGTTCCTGTTGTCATAGGCAGTTTTATAAATTAGCTAAAAATTTTCATTTTTAAACTTAAAAAATTTAAAAAGTTATTTTCGAAATATAAATTATGTTTCATATTTATTTTTGTGTGGCAATTTGTTTCTTCAGTTTTATAATTTATATTTTTTAATTAATAATTTATTCATAAACTATAATTTGTTATATATCAATTAAATAATTTTTTTATCATTTCAATTTTCTTTTCACGAAATATACTATTTCTTAAAATATTTTGTTATTAAGTGCAACGTTTTATATACATACAAACATGTATAGTATTATATATGAGAGATTAAATATAGTACTTATGCTTAGAGTTGAACATATAAGATTAGATTGAAAAATTACAAGTTTTTTCTTCAATTCATAAATTTAAAACGTTAATAAGAGCACAAATAAAGCAAGAAATGATTAATAAAAAAAACCTCTCATTTACATAAATACTCGTAATGTGTTTAAACTTATTTTCAAAAATAAGAAATTTTTTAAGGGTCTTAAAATTAATTTTACTAATTTTTTATAATTTTTTTTTATATATAAATTATTTTACATTACAAAATATAAATATGGGTTGGCTTAATAAAACTATAAATGAGTGAAAGACATGAGCTATGTGTCCTCTTAAAGGACCAGGATCATTGTGATGTTAATGAACTCGGCTAAAGCATTTTAAAATTTATTAAAACAAATAAATAAATAATGCTCTTTAATTAGACAATATTATTATAGTAAGTTCGTTAATAAGTAGTTAATTTGACAATATTAATAAGTAGTTTATATAGGCAGCATTTACAAACAAATTTTACTATTTTAATAAAACATTTTAAATGCATTATCAGACTTTTTAAAAAATAAATAAAGTGAGATAAAAATTGTATACTCAACTCAATGAAGGTTCGAAAATTTCTTGAGAATTTCTTCCGAAAGAATTTAAGTTTTCACCAATTTAAAATATTTTTACAACTTTTATTATTCGAGGATAAAATTCTATTAAAAAAACTTTTGTCATAAACTTATATTTACAAAATGCTATATATAACAATTATATTATATATAACATATAAGAACTATATCTTGAGCATAATTTTATTTAAATAATGTTTAGTATTCATGATGAGATAAAGTGATTTCTATTTTGCAAATAGAATATGATAATAATTTTATAAATAAATAATTTGTAATTCATTACAATTAATATAATTAAAATTAATTATATAAAAATAATAATTGATTAAAATCATTTAAAATAAATTTTTAAAAACTAGATAGTAAAAATAATTAATAAAAACATCAATTATTAAAATTAATAATAAAAAAATTATTATTCAAAACAAGCAATAAAAAAAATTATTTATGAAAAGTAAATTAAAAATATATATATTAAAGAATTAATTTTTAAAATAAATAATTAAAATTCATTATTAAAATATAATATAATATACTATTAAAAATATTAATAAGCAATATCAAAATAATAAATTAATTTGTAATTAATCATTGAAATAATTTTTTACCATATTAATTACTAAAAGTTATTTTATTAAATTATTAATTATAAACAGATTAGTGATTGAAAATATTTAGTTCCATATTTATGAAATAATGAATTACAAATTATTAAAAATAATATTTATTATCTTATAAAACTATAGGTTAACAGATAATGGTTTTGTATGCCAAGCAAATATATAATAGTGCTTTAAAGTGTTCGAAGATTACAATGCTCAATTAATTTTAGTATACTCGAATTCGAAAATTCAAATTAAACTCAAATGCTCGAAAATATTTAAACTGTTCAAATTTCGATTTAGTGCTTTGTTATATTTTATTTTCGTTTTATATAAATAAGGTTAACAGCAAATGTTTGAATAAAATATGGTAATCGAACTTTTTTGAGTGCTCGAAACAAATTCGCATTATGTCTTATGTTAATAAGATTAATGGTTTGGTTTAAATTACTAAAAACTCAATTACATTCACATTTTTAAATGCTGAAGAGTTCAAGAAATTATTCGAACTTAAATGAAATAAATAATGGCACTGTTTATTTAATTAAATTATGTTTAAAATTCGATTCTTATTACAAGTTTTTTAATCGAAATGAATATAAACTGATTTTCAAAATTATAATATATAATAAAGAGTAAATTTAATAGTTAGTATTGATATTCTACTTTCGTTTTATGTTGTGAATAAAGTCATAGCATTTAGCATGTTAAATATAAGAAATTGTTGTAAATTTTAAGTTCAATGATTTTTGTTAAATTGATGTGCTAATTATTATATTTAAAATTAGTTAAATTAAAATTTTAATTTAATTACTTAAACGGTAATATATTTAGTAATGAGTTTAGCGTAGTAAAAAGAATTTAAATTTAGCATAATACATACAAAATGTTTTTTTTTTAATTTTTTTTAAACATATTTCAAAAAAAATATACGCACACATACATATATTGTTATAAAATGTAATGATAATTGTTAAATTTTTTATTTGATAAAGTCACAAAGTTATAATAGTAATTAATTAATTAATTAGTTAATAAAAGTTGTCGAAGTTTATATGTCGTAAGTCTACACTTAGAATAAAGGTTTAATGGCGGCAGTTCTTACTCACTAAATATTTACAATTTTTTTAATGTTTCCTTTTATAAAATGATAATTAATGATAACTAAAATTTTAAAAAAATTCTATGGAAAAATATACATAATTATTGAGAATGAAATTTTAAAAATGAATTTAGTATTTAGAAAACCATAAATACATTAAATATGTTAACTGTGTTTGTAATTTATAGATAATTAAAGATTAAATACCGAGTCTGATTTAAAGGCATTTAAATGATTTAAAACTTAAAAAGGCTAATAACTTATGTACCATATAATCAAATACAGTTAAACATAAATTAAATATATTTTGCTAACATGGCATTAATAATTAAAAAGCATCGCAGAATCGTTTGAAAATTATTTTAGTAAAAACTGCATCGTTGTCGCTTTTGTGTTTAATTCTATATTTCATTTTTTGCTGTTAACATTCAAATTCATTTGCTGTTATTGCACTTAAATCCTTCATAAGTCCTTCCAAATTGGCCATCTCTTGATTAAGTTCCTCTGTTGAAGTACTCGGCGCCAGTCTTTGTATTTCATCTGTGGAATGTGTTACTGAAGGGCCACCTTGCAGGCGATTGGGTGTAGCTGCTGAGAATGAGGGCTTCTTATAGGGTGATTGATTTTGCGGACGTATTGTAACAGCTGGAGCTGAAAGAAAAAATGTGAGATTAAAATCTTACTACATTTACAGAATATCAAACACAATCAAAATCGTTTATAGGGCTTTTAGCGTTAAACGGTTTAAGGACTGTATGGAACTAAATAAAAATAATTTGTAATCATTATAGGAATTCTGAGAGGACACTGGAAGTTGAACTAACAAACTTAAATCATCTTACAAAATGGGGAATTTACTCTAACGAAACTTGTAGATTTTATAGGGAAGAAAAAGAGAGAGAACTTATAATATTTATGCTGGATATTTGCATGGCAATAATAAACCAAAGAAGTTAGGTAGATGGGTATGAGATGAGATGAAATGAACTCTGTGATATAGACTCAGTACTACAAATTATAAAGGAAATTTCACTTGGAGAAATATAGTAATCAAGTGTATGAAGGGCGCACAATAGATTTCTAGGTTACAGTGTAAATTCTTTCAACATAATAGTAATAGAAAATATTATTTCTTTTAAAAATATTTTTATTTTTTTTAAATTTTTGTGTAATATTTAAAATTACGGATGTCCAGTAAATAGTGGTTTATCGTACTACAATAGAAATAGTAAATCTATTTAAGGAACTAGTCAGATATATATCTTAAAATTAATGCTAAACCTTTTTTATATTTTAACTTGATAAATAGCTATATAGACCAATTTAAAGCTCAATATATGACTTTGAAAAAAAACCATTTTGATTATAATATATAAATTAAAATAAATTGATCATATAGATGTGAAGCATATAATAAGTCCTGCAATTTTAAAATGTTATATCAAAAACTGTTTGTCGGAATATGTGTCATCGTCGCCATGTCTGAGATGAATTTAAAAGTGCTTTCATTAATAACAAAAAATTTACTATTTAACAAAAGGCTGCTGCGATCAATATAATACGTTGATATAAAAATTTTTATTCTCGAATAGTGTGAACTTAAGTATATAAAATATGAATAGTGTTCATATTGCTTCAATACTGCAATACTGAATAAAGCAGTGTATTGCCTCTTTAGTCATCTAATACCTAAATTATTTTAAATAAAAACAATAAATGAGAAAAATTTATCTCAACGATGACGAAGTATTTAAAATGGATATTAGACTAAATATTTATCTGATTGTTGAAACTAAAGTATAAACTTTAATTTATGAAAATTGAAATCTTCTAGAAATATTTCTGGGTATTACACGTACATTGAATTTGAGTTTATCTGAATTAAAATCATAAGATCGGCAGTATTATTGCTTGAAAATGTTTGTTTTTTGTGGGTATTATTTAAAATATGCTTAAGTTAAACTATAATTTTTATTTTGGTTGAAAAAAATATATATTTTTACCATGTTTATTAATTGCTGAAGGTCCATTTGTTGGAGGTGGTCCGGGTACACTAAAACTTTTAAGTGGGTGTCCACGTTTATTACTTTCTATTGTTGATACTCCACCATTACTCATAGCACTGCTACCGCCTCCAGCAGCACCATTAGGATAACCAGGATTGCTATACAAAATAAAAAAAATTTATTTTAATGTTATTTTATGTAATTGTTTATTATTTTACTTAATTCTAAAAATT